TATCAGACCTATGCTGGGTCAAGGATAGTTTCCCAGAAGCATCAAAACAAACGTATCTCCGGCAAGTCAGACCCACAAAAGCTAAGACCCTCCAATATGCCAGGTGTGCCAAAATGATCCTCATGCTTGGCAGCATGATCCTCCCTAGCTTGATGTGGCTTTTAAAATGATAGATGTTTACTTTGATCCCCAGGTCAGGTTTCAGCCTGAAAAGCAGGCTGTGGGGAAACCTGTCAGGTCAAAGACATGACAGCGAAGACAGGAAAGCGAAGAGAAAAATTAATACTGTTTTACTTTGGCTTTACAATGTTTTAAGACATGAGGGTCTAACATGCTCAGCAACATCGGATGTGCAAGAAGATATACGGGAAGCAAACCACGTTATATAGACCGGCTGATGTTGTAACCCCCCCCCGTCTAACATGGTAGGCCAAATCAATATTTGCGCTATAGGCTTTTCATGTTAGACACCAGATTTTGGGGTCGAGTCTGCTCTGTATACCTGAGGTCCCTTTGAAGTAGTTGCATATATAAAAAATGACCATCCTACGCGGCATAGGTATCAAAAAACATATTTACCGAATCAAAAAATAAATATTTACTGAATCAATAAACAAATATTCATTGTGCGATGAAATCCCTTGGAATTCCCAGTCGTGTAGGTGGCCGGTCCTCTGGTCCGCTGGTCCCCTGGTCCGCCGGTCCTCTAGTCCGCTGGTCCTGGTCCGCTGGTCCCCTGCAGTCCGCTGGTCCCCTGCAGTCCGCTGGTCCACTGGTCCGCTAGTCCCTTGATCCTCTGATCCTTCGTCTTTCTTTCTTTCTTTTTCGCAGCTGTTCTCCTTTCTCTTTTTTGCTTTTGCTTTTCCTTTTGTTCGCTTTGCAGAGACGAAACCAAACAAGGAAGCAAGCAAGCGCGAGCTGCTCACCTTTGGATTTGGTGTGCTGCTGGGGGGGGGGGCGCCCCCCCCCCCCAACCCCCTCCGCGCCACGAAATCTGCGCTTCATCCCCGACACCCGCGCCTGCCACGAAATCAATATTTTGAGGTGAACTCCCCGGCGCAAAAATTTCTAACCAAGCAAATATGCCCCCTCTATCTATCTATCTATCTTTCTTTCTTTCTATCTTTCTGCAGTTCAACATCCACAAAGTCCTGCACCTGCCGCGAAATCTGCACTCCAAGGTCCACAAAGTCTTGCGCCTGCCACGAAATCTGCACTCCAAGGCCCACAAAGTCCTGCGCCTGCCACCAACTCTGCACTTCCACATCCACAAAAACCTGCATCTGCCACGAAATCTGCACTTCAAGGTCCACAAAGTCCTGCGCCTGCCACGAAATCTGCACTCCATGCCTGCCACAAAATCTGCATTCCAAGGGCCACAAAGTACTACACCTGCCACGAAATCTGCACTTCAAGGTCCACAAAAAGTCCTGCGCCTGCCACTGGCCACCAACTCTGCACTTCAACATCCACAAAGTCCTGCACCTGCCACGAAATGTGCATTGCAAGGTCCACAAAGTACTGCGCCTGCCACGAAACACCACGACTACCACTACGATACTGCTGCTATTATAGTACTGTTGCTACTCTTACTGCTACTGCTATTCGGAATATTTTTTGAGTCAGTATTTCTTTTTGATGCGTGTAGAATATTTTTTGTTGATACGTTAAATTCTTTTTGATCTCTCACCCATCCTACGCCGCTCGTTTTTCCAGCTGTAGGCATGCTCGAGTGTCACGTCAAGTTTCAGTTTCACATACAGCCTGACTGCTTTTCACCTCCGTGATGTGGTGCGTTTAGCCTGCTGACATGCGTGGTGACCATGGGAAATACCCTCTTAAATAGTGTTGTCCCGTGCGAGGTCGATGCGTCAATGGCAACCGGTGGATCTAAATGGTTGTACAACGTGGTGGTGACTACATTCGTCGCGATCATCATCATCATCATCAAACGTGGCTTCATCGGCTTCCACGTCTCTTTTGCCTCCACATGTTCTCGGTAGCCAGGCTTCCGGAACATTGCCGGAGTGTGTCTGGAACAGATGGTCGTGGTCGAAAGTTAGGAATTCGTTAGCCTTCAAAGTCGATGCAGCGGATCATGCCGCCGGCAATCATGGTGTGCAAAATTCAATATATCTATATATGTATACATACAGTATATATATATATAAACATGTTCAGGGGACCATTAGTTCACGTACCTGCTACAGGGCGGTTCGTTCCTGTCTTTGTCTGCCTGCCTGCCTGGCTGGCTGGCTGTCTGTCAGTTTGTCTGTCTGTCTGTCTGTCTGCCTGCCTGCCTGCCTGCCTGCCTGCCTGGCTGGCTGGCTGGCTGGCTGGCTGGTTGGCTGGCTGGCTGTCTGTCTGTCTGTCTGTCTCTCTCTCTCTCTCTCGTTACCTGGCGAGCGTCACTAGTCACTGAGTCGTCTCGCAGAGGCGCCTGACTGCAAGTTCCCCTACAGGCCGGAGACCGTGGGGAAAACCGTGCCAAACGGGACTATGCTGGCATCCGCAAAATGCGACAAGGGGCCAGAGGCTACAGAGAAGAAGCAGAACTTACTGGACTCAGAACTGGATCAAACAACGAGACAAGGACATGAGCAAAGAAAGACATGAAATGAACATATAATTTGAACCGAACCATCTACGCATCTGCACATCCGACGCGCGATCCCGGTAAAAGTAAAGGGTTGCCGGAGCAAACCCAAAACAGCCGCTGCACCACTCCGCAAGTCAACACATGAACTATCAACTATTAAACACTACACCGTCACGACAAAGTCAGGCCATATTACAAACCGTTAAGCCACATAAAGCCATCACATCACACGGAACCACAGCACATTGAACCCTAGTACTTACCACATCACAACACACGAGATAACACAAACCACTACACCACATTTGACTACACATGGCAACATCTTGCGCGTACATACATCACCACATCTAAATCCTGCCTCATGGCTTTGGCAGAGCTTACTTGCCTGATGTGCTTGTCGATGGCACCCCAGGATTGCCATTTTGGTATGGTCGTTGCGACCCTAGGGCCAATGAACGCCGAGTCGAGATAGCTGGGAGCTTGAAGCGAGCATTGCGACCACCAATTGACGACAATTTCCTTGGTGTTTTTTTGGAAGCATTGCACATGCAAGGTCGCGCATGCCTTGGGAATTCCTGGCGCTTTGCACTCCCATGTGCTGGTGGACACTGATGTTTTGCAACGCGCTTGCCCCCCATCGATACAAAGTTGCAACCAAGAGGGGGTGTATAATGAGTCTGAAAGTTCACGTTGTTCGCACACTGGAGGAAAGCTTCGAGTTGGTCATGTGTGCCATCAGCTGCCCTAGGGTTTTCTGGTCCTTATTGCCTCTTGGCTTGGTACTCTGCCATGCTGTTTGCAGCAGCGACCGCTTTCCACAGATGAGGCACCCGAAGGTACAATGGAGTTTGTGACCGGTGCTGGATACCAGGCGCCTGCCATGTCAACGATGTTCGCAGCAACTCCACAATTGGTGCCGGTCCGGGTGCTGTACTTCATACGTCTTTGGAAAAGTTTGCAAGCAGCAACGTACACTCAAAGTTTTGCTGTGTCAATGTGATGCATTTGGTTGCGCACTGAGGGCAAGCCTTTAGTTTGATGCCCAACAACTTTGCAGTGCTAGTAGTGGTGAGACAGAGCAGATGTTTGAAAGTCAAGCTATTTCTTGATGCCAGGCGTGAAGACAGGTCCAGTTCCGTTGCAAAAGCCCTGGTGCCCTTTGGGAATTCTGGAAAGTCCTACCTATAAAGACCCTCAGCTGCGCACAAAGGCATTCATACTTGATATACTTGCAGCATTGTTTGACAGAGGCTGTCTGCACGTCCAAGTAAATATGTTTGTGGTTACGCATCACGGGTTGCAAAGAGCACGTCTTTATGCAGCGAGCTGCTCACTGAAATCTATGTTGCACACTTTCGGGAATGCTGTGACATTTTGCTGCCTTGGAGTGTTCAGGACCAACGAATTGAGTGGCTTGGATTTCGCAGTAAAGCTACGGTGGGATGTACGTGCTGAGACGGTGGCACATATATCATATCGGACCACTATTGTCACGAGGGACTGGTAATCAAAGGTCGCGTGACTGAATGGTGAAAAGTCTTGTGCGTTATCTAACGCTCTATTTAGTTTTGCCCCGTGCGCGTGCTCAATTGAAGACCCTTTTTGCTTCGGGCACACTGCCAGGATCGAATGCAAAAGCAACTTCGCGTCTCAACATTGCTGCCTTTACACAAAAAAATGCCAATGGCCAAGCCGTTTTTGATGTTTTCGTTCACTACTGTCTTTGTGGTTTTTGAAGGCAGCATTCAAAGCTTGGCTTGAGGTGATGGCAGTTCGGATCCGATGTCCGCAGACCTTACTGATGATGGTTTGGCACTAGTAGCATCAAGGAAGCCGTATGAGCGATCACATGATTCACATGGTAGGGCCTGGGGCGGCCTGGGGCATACACCGAGTTCCCGGTATCACGGCATGGCTTGCACATTGGGATTGCAGGAAAAGCACCGCAGACATGGAACAGTTCTTGAGGCGTGATGGGCTTAGAACACCTTCTGTACAAATGAGGCCATGGAAAAGTTTAGGAAAAGAGGAGAAAAGAAGACAAGAGCTTTTTCAATAGGCTTTAACTTTAATGAGGCTCCTCAAAGGGACGCAATGAATATGCCAACGCTGTCCTTCCCCCATTGTGGGGACATGCCCTTAGTGAGAGATTGAGATCGGCTCAGGTGCTGCTGCAGCTCACAACCGCTACAAAGACCTCCCATTGCAAAAAGAAGACATGTCACTTGGATTCAATTGGCCCTATTGCGATTGGCTGCGGCATCCTTGTGAAGGTAGAACTCTTTTCACATGCAGTTGATTCATCATGGATTTCAACTCATGTGATCCAGAACAGATGCCAGGAAGTGGGCTGCGTATTTTGCCTGGAATGATGCACCGCTTGGCAGGACACTTGAAGAGGCATGTTGCAGAAAAACAAGATTCATATCAAGTGCAAGCAGCATGCACAGGCGCTGGCAGAGGTCAAGTTGTTTCTGACCTCGGAGCACCCATTGATCAGAGTAATAGCTGCGCAGAGCCAAGATCACCATTTTGAGCTTACTTGAGGAGTATACAGAGGTAGATCACATTTCCATTTCATTCCCTTCCCACGCATTTGGGAGCTTCCTCAATGCATAAAGCACACTTTCATGCTGTAGGTGTCAACCACCACGACCACTACGCGTCCGCAGCTTGCGGGACCAACGACAACTCTTCCAAAAAAGCTTGAATGTGTGGAACACAGCGTTCCGCGGTTGCATTTGGCATTGGCCACGCAGACAGTAGCAGGGGCAAGGCTGAAGCCACTCCTACCCGCTGCATACCATGATGCCGCATCCTGCCACTGGTTTTGAGGGGTTTCGGATTTCCTTAAGCTGTTTGAACTGCAGCTCAGTGTGAGGTCAGCTTTGCACCAATAGACATGCCGGGCACTGTGCCCAGCACTTCGTCTGTCGAAGAGTGCCAAAAGCGATGTGCCAAGACTCTTGGGTGAGCCTTGCCGGCAATTTGGCCATACGGGCAATGTGTTGTGTAAAAATGCGCGTTGCACTTGGACTGGAGGCTTTCACTTTTCCTTCTTGGACAGTATAAAGAGCTGCCACCTGCACAGCTTTTCGGCTTTGCCACAGGCAGGCAACGGATTTGAACAGTCTTCAAGATTCAGCCGTTTAGTTGTTCAGCCTTTAGTGAACGGCTTTCAGCTTTTGAGAGGCGAACAGCTTGGGCTGGCTCTCTGGACCTCCTCAATGTTGGCAAGCCAAGCAGGAAGCCTGGGCCACATACGCATTTGGCAATCCACAGCCACAACGTGCTGCAAGAAACCTGATTCTCCCCAACTCTCCTATGCATTGTTTTTCTTAGTTCCCAACAATTTGTAACGGTTACGTTTTTTACATGAACCAAAGTCTTCACAACTCTTTTTTGCGACTCGCGCTCCGGCTCCACAGTTTGATAAAATATGTTGGTTCATTTGCGTTGCCAATGCTTCAAAAGCACGTTGCTTCGATGTATCGTTTGTTTATTTGCTTTGCCATCACCACCCACAAAACAAAGTATTCTTTGGGTAGCGCGCGCAACCACTCTCTCTTCCTCTCTCTGAACATTAAGACAATATATGTAAATACGCCCCCGTGTTTAAAGGCGTAGGGAGGTTAAGTGAGAGTTTTTCACCGCAGCACTGGCTCAGCGCATGTGGGGCCACCCGGCGGCCTGCAGCTGCACTCTGTGCACGTCGCTTGAGCGGCTGCATAGAGTTGTCAGCCTAGCCAGGGCGACACCGAGGTTCGTTGAGTACTCCACGGTCAGGATCCGCAACCTGATCGGAGAGCTCAGCGATTTCCTCGAGGCACATCCTGAGGAAAGGGAGGACCTGGCACGTCCTCCTCCTCAGGTCGGAGGAAAGGGAGCCGGACGCGAAGACCAAGGAGGATCCCAAGCAGCAGCAGGCCAGGGGGTGGACACGGAAGCAAAGGCTCCACAAGAACCAGCAGGAGAAAAGGCAGCAGGGGCAGGAGATACACTACCAGGCAGTGCAAGAGATCATCAACCCAGAGGCATCGCAGTGAAGAGAGAAGAGGACGAGGAGGACTCGACAGAACAGCAAGGCAAGAACTCGGCAGCAGAGACCAAGGCACCTCGAAAGGAGGCTGACGAGCCTGAACCCCATCGAGGAGAAGTTGAAGGGGGGGACCGAACCAGAGGCCAGTGGAGAAGGCGAAGAAGAGCGCAAAGGTGATCACGGTGTAAGGGAGGTAGTGCCAGAATCTCCTCACCGAAGAAGAAGAAGAAGGAAAAGGAGTGCGAGTCGTACAAGGTCTCCAAAGGTCAGAAGAAGAGGAGAAAGTTCCCATCGTCGACGAAGGAGAGCAGCCAGTGGGGTCAGGGAGAAGGAGGTCAAGCCCAGCCAAGCCCCAGAAGGGAGGGAGGAGCGTCGGGAGGTCAGGAGGCCGAGATCTCCCTCGAATCCCCCTCCTGGGTTTACAGGACAAACCATTCTGGTGCCGGCTCGCCCTGTCTATCGTGGACCCCCCTGACAGCCCAGAGTATCGCCCATACGAAGGTGCAAAGAACAAAGGAAAGAAGAAGGTTGAGACACAGCGCTACTTCAAGGACTACGTGGCGGAGCGCCGGGCCGAAAAGAGAAAAGCCCGGGAAGGCAGAGAGGAGCACTGGTAGAAGAAGGTTGGATGCCTCCTAGGCCGCTGAGACGACCGGCGGCTGAAGGGAGGTTGAGACGAGGAGGAGATCGAGGAGACGCTGACAGAGAAGGAGGTCGTGAAGGGGCGCTCAGGAGAAGACCAGCCGCTGCAGAGGAGCGTACGACAGGTTTTGAAGCTGGAGAGGAGGTGGCCGTGGGAGTATGGAAGCCAGGAGGGGTGTACTACAGCAGGGAGATCACCATCGCGGTCGAGGTGGATGCATTGAGATTCCATGGAGGAGCTCTGGAAGTTATGACCTGGGTGACAGGAACCCAGGACGAGGGACTTCTCCGATGGGTGTCGGGGAATGCAGGGGTGCCTTTGAGATGCCACGTATGCCTGGAGGACTGCGCCAACATCCCAGAAGGGGACGATATTCTACATCTCAAGAAGGTGAAGCATCGGGGTGCAGACAGCCCGCCTTGGGCCGACAATCTCAAAGAGCCGACGGGGATGGAAGAACTACGGCGCCTGGCGGCGCGATCAGACGCTCTTGCACGAGGAGTGGAGGAGGCGAAGGACATGGAGAAGAAGGAGAAAGAGGCCCATCCCCCAGCAGGGCAAGAAGTCAAAAGCACCAGCGGGTCCAGCGGAGGTCGAAAGAAGAAGAAGAAGTCCTTCAAGCCAGCGGGAAAGAAGGAGCACTCAGCCTTGTACAAGGGCACTGGCCTCGATCAGGATGCTCGAACCCGAAAGAAAGTGTCCCGACTGGCGAGACGGGCTATGAAGAAGAAGTCAAGGAGCTCAAGTTCAACCGGGACGAGCTCAACCTCGGAAGCGGTGGATGGGATGGAAGATCTCATTCAGGAAAGCCAGAGGACGCAGTTGGCTTCAAAAGCAGGGCCCGGAGCCTTGGCATATCACGCCATCCGCCAGATGAGGAAGCAGATGCTGCAGGAACAAGGCCAAGAAGGCGTGGAGATGAGCCCCGTGGGGGCTGTTGGATTGCAGTTCTACAGACAGATCCTGCGGCCCAAGATGACGCCGGTGATGGCTCGCGAGGCATTGAACATTTCAGCGGCATTGGACGCCCTTCTGAGCTGCCAGCCAGCTCATGCAGCAGACGTTTTGGTGCAGAGGCTCAAGGCACTAGAGAGCATGGCGAGCGGGTCGTCATGGCAGATGTCGCAACGCTTCGAGATCGTGCCGATGGACCTGGGAAGCTTATAGCATCACAGGCGGAGGCAACTGCAGTGGCCCGGGAAAGCCGGGAAGAACAGAAGAGCCGCCAACTCCAAAAGGGAGCTTGGGATCACAGCTCCTGGAAAGGCGGCAAGGGCGAACAGAAGGGCGAGAAAGGAAAGGGAAAGAGCAAAGGCAAAGATGGGAAGTCGAAAGGAGGAGACAAAGATCGCGCTCGAGGAGACAAAGCCGAGAAGTGAATGGCCTTGCAGAGGATGAGATCTCAGAGGAGTTGAAGAAGGTGAGACGAGGAGTAGAAGAGGAGATGCCTGCGAAAGCCTGCCAAGCTGCCAAAGAAAAGAGGACTCAGGACGACCAGTATGAGCCTGAGAAGGGGACTACATCTTTGAGCATGTGGTCACGTACAGAAGGGGCTACCGAGAGTGCCAGCTCGGTGGTCCAGACCCCAGTACCGTCCGTGAAGGATGTTGAAAAAGGAGCGACGCTGGATTCGAGCACGTTCGACTCGTTCGTGGAGGGGTGGGTTCATGACTTGTCACTTTTCACGCTTTGCAAGGTCAAGACCATGGGAAACCTTTTGCCTTTCCCCGTTGACTCGATCATGGGACACCCTTCCTTTTCGGGCGAAGATCGACGTGTGCTGCAAGTGTTGAGAGGTATTTGTTGTGGACTCAATTCACTTTATGGCAGTGACCCGGACGTGACGCTTAAGGTGTCAGCCGCTCATATCAAAAGTTGCATGTTTTTGATGGAAGAGGCGAAAAATTTTGTGAGAAGATGTCCTGCCCTCCCTGTCCTAAGTTGGGAGGAGTACCTATCGGTGCGAACTATTGACTACAAAGGTGACGAGGTGAAGGTGGCTCAAGTGACTTCATGGAAGAATGTGCGACCGGCCTTGCCTGACGAAGTGGGAACGGTGCCATTGGAGAGCGTGGTGACCAAAGGATCACTGCACTACACCTTGAACTTTGGCACTTACCTTTTGCCTGAACATGAGCAGGTTTATACTAAACCCCCGAAAATCATGGTAGCAGAAGGTGCATGGGAGGACCTGTGCAAGGGACTCCTCGCTTCCAGAGTGTGTGGGCTCATCAGGGAGGCGGACATCCACTTGGTGCAGGGTAGACGGTTGTTCAACGGACTGTTTGGAGTCCCCAAGGACGACGTGGTTGATGGCGTGCCAGTTCACCGCCTGATCATGAATCTGGTGCCACTCAACCGAATTTGTCGCTCAATGAATGGAGACGTTAGCACACTACCAGCATGGCCCTCGATGAACCCTTTTGAACTGAAGGACGGTGAAACCTTGTTGATGAGCTCTGAAGATGTTCGCTGTTTCTTTTATATTTTCACTGTTCCAAAAGAATGGCACTCCTACCTGGCCTTTGGACGACAAGTTCCGAGGAGCATGTGGCCTGACCAAGAGGGACCCTACTACCTTTGTAGTCAAGTGCTACCCATGGGGTTTTGTAACTCTGTCTCTTTGGCCCAGCACATCCACCGGTTTATCGTCGCAGAGGCGGTCAAGGAGTGCGTCCAGCGGGGGAGCAGGGCAGGCTGGGAGGCGGAGCACCGAAAGGATAGGTCTTTCACCTGGAGCAACCCGTCGTTCCGCGTGTACTTGGATAACTTCGATCTCCTGGAGAAGACTGACAGTCAGCTGGCTACAACAATCCAGGGAACTTGTTCTCCTTTTATTGAGGCATTGCGGGAGGCTTATGCTAGGCATCAGGTACCTAGGCACCCCAAGAAAACTGTGACCAGGGCCATTAACGCTGAAATTCAGGGCGCTGAAGTTGATGGTGAGACGGGCATGGCAGCCCCAAAGGCTGACAAGGTTGGCAAGTACATCAGGCTCTGTCAGTTGTTACTGTCTGCAGGTGTGTGCACTCAGCGTCAAATGCAGGCGGTGGCAGGTGGCTTCGTCTATTTTTCTACCTTCCGGCGACCCTTGCTAGGAGCACTCAACCAAGTCTGGCAGTTCATTCAGGGGTTTGAGACTGGCCGCTATCAGCAAAAGATCCCCGACGGAGTACGCCTTGAGCTGAGTCGTTTCTGCTTGTTGATCCCTTTGGCACGGATGAATTTTCGGCTTGCTTTGTCGGCTACAGTGACGGCCTCGGATGCCTCCACTACAGGAGGCGGAGTGACAGCGTCGTGTGGAGTTAGCCAGGTCGGAGCCATCGCCGCGAATATGCATGTGCGTGGGGACATCACGGAGCTTGAAGACGTTGACACCGTGTTGACCGTTGGTTTGTTTGATGGCGTTGGTGCTTTGAGGGTTGCGGCAGACGCCGTAGGACTCACAGTCGTTGGTCATGTGTCCGTGGAGTGCCATCCGCCCGCGCGTCGTGTGGTCGAAAGCCGGTTCCCGCATACATTGTTCATCAACTCCGTGGAGGAGGTCAGCGATGAGGTGGTCAG